TGATATCAGGTTTAGGATAGGCTGACAATGACAAACCACAGGAGATACATGCTTTTGTTCAATAATGAACAGAAGCGGAGGCAGACGTAAACATTCGGGGCTTAGCCCAAACCTAAGCAGGGTCCAGTGGCATGCTGCCCTAGGGAGATATTTTCCCATTTACAGTAGCTACACTTAACAAAATAATAATCGCAACACTTTTGTTTTTGCATCCATTCATCATGAGCTGAACTCAAAGATCTAAGACTTTCTCTATGTACACAAAAGGCCTATTTGTCTCAAATATTGTTCACAAATCTGTCAAAATCTGTGTTAGTGAGCACTTCTCCTTTGCCAAGATAATCCATCCCCATCACTGGTGTGGCATGTCGGGATGCTGATCAGACAGCCTGGGTATTGCACAGGTGTGCCTTAGGCTGGCAGTTGCCCTGGGAAAAATTATCCTGTTTCACTTTGTTTAACTTCAATTGTTCTGTCTTCATCATTGTGAAACCATAACACAACAAATGTTGAGGATCACTAACATAACATAGATAGGGTAGGAATTTGGCTTAAACAGCCTTACTAATCTTGAAACCTATTTGTTATACTATGCTGGAGTAGAGTTCAGAGAAGTCTGGATCATGCCATAATAACCTGGGCTGCTCTAATAGCAAATCAAGGATACTCAACAATGCCAAGTAAATTCGGTCAGTACTCTGACTTGGGACTCTGGGTGCACCTGCTTATAGCAACCACTCACCTTGTTGTCCCGAAAATTAGACTAAACCTGAGTTTTGATTAGTTATAACCTAATAAAACGTTAAAATAGCATATTGACTGTTAAACATTTTTTTGCCATTACCTAAAGACAGGCACTATTACTGCTCTCCACCAGGGACTGCAATGTATCATGGACACTGTGGCAACTGGAATCATATAGCCCTAAAGTAACACAGGTGCTCTTTCCCCCTTTTTGTTGTCTAGTGTTGATGAAGATAATGGAAGTTACAGTTGCAAGAACAGGGGAAGTGTAGCAGAGAAGGAGAGATCTGACACATCTGTGTTGCACAGAAACAGGCACCACTGTGATGAAATTAATTAAATGAGACTAAATAAATTGTTGCACTCTAATACATGTCGCAGTCTTTCTATTTTGCAGGCAAAGTAGTGACTTAAAGAAAATATGTTCTAATGACAATTTCACTCAATTATTTGGAGTCCATATAAAATTCAGAGGTCTGCTAATAATAAAACTTGTCAGTGGAAAATTCATACCTGAGGATTGTTTTGTTACAAATAAAGCACATGGAAGAAAAGAAATGTCTCTCTTTTTTTCCCAATAAATTTTAGTCCAAACTGGGGTATTCAATGTATTCAATTCCACCAATTGAGAAAGGGTTATAAAAGAGCTGGGTGATGGCTGCAGCACTGTTGGAGGATTTTGCCAGTGGCCGGCTTTGGATGAAGAGGGTGTTTTAATTGGAATGACCCAGCGATACATATGGTTTCCCTACACTGCAGGTGAACAGGGCAACATAAAAGCGCAATTTGCAGCAATGTCCGCTTTCCCAAATGTAATCGGTGTAGTTGACTGCACTCATATTGCAATAAGGGCACCTAACCAGGAATTTGTGAAATGAAGACATTTTCATTCAATCAACGTCCATGTTATCTGTGAAGCAAAAGTGATTCCAATGGAAGTAGTTGCTCGATGGCCTGATTCAATTACAGTGAGACTCAGCAGTGTATGAAGCAGGCTTGAAGCTGGAGCTATGCATGATGGTTGGCTACTGTGTAAGATAAGACTCAGTGAGCTATGTACCTCCACTTACTTTTAATGCAAATGTTTAAGTTTTACTGACTGACTTAAAATTCCTGAAGGTGACAGCGGCTTTTCCCTGAAGCGCTTACTCCTCACTCCATTCCCCAAACCAAAGAGAGAAGAAGAGGGCCACTACAATAACATTGACATTGGATGCGTGTACCATTTCATCGGGATGCCTGCATGCAATAAGCTATAAGTTATCTGAGGAGAAAGTTTTTTTTATTGTTTTTTTTAAACCTGTCCTGCCCAGCAGCCTGGTATAGAGTATAATGACCTGGATACCATATTGTGCCAGACAGATTTTACTTTAACAAGAGAGTATTAAAATACTCCTTTGTCTGTTTTATTATTTATTTAATTATGTATTGATTTGTCACCGGGCCGGACAGGGGGGCAGACACGGGATGGGGGGGCACAAACAGACAGCACAGAGAAAGGACAACACCTGCAAGAGAAGGGGGAAAGGGGGATGGAGGGTGGGGACAACAGGGAAAAGCTGTGGGAAACACCAATTGCAGAAAGCAACGAAACCTGCAAGAGAACAGAGAGGGGGACTTGGGGAGGAGAAAAACAACAACAAACAAACACAAACAAAAAAAACAATAAAAATAATAATAATAGTAAAAGACAACCAGCCGAACAGCAGCAATAAACAGCTGACATATTAATGACATATTAAGACAACTAAGAGAACAATGAAAACAAGAAACAGTCACACACACTAAATAAGCAACACAACACAGCCACGAGAGCTGGAATAATAATTAATTTAAATAAGTAACTGAAAGAAAGGCATCAGGAATAATTCTACCAGGGACAACCTAAGTTTGTTTGTGTCTGTGTGTGTCTGTGTGTGTCTGTGTGCGTGTGGGTGAATGTGTCTGTATGTGTGTGTGAGAGGGGAGAAAGTTTGAGACAGTAATGTTCTTATTTATCGCAATTCCACAGTGACATTGCCGTAACTGTATCTATTTGTGTTTGTAACTCAGCATTTGTTGTCATCTTCTACCACCTCCTTGACTGAAGTGAAAATGAACAACTATGCATGTGTTAAAAAAATCTTGTAAAGTCTTCAGAGTGTTTTAGTGTAAAAAAAAAAAAAGTAAAATGTTGATTAGATTTTGGGCACATAAAGACACACAAAGCCTTGGGTTGAACCTGGTTCACCTGCGATCTCATCATTAGACACGTCTGTGTCTCTCTTACCACAATAGCAACTGATGCTTCCCCGAAAATTTATGCCATACTCTCATCAAAGGGAGAGAGGTCAGGTGCTTTTTGGCATTAACTTTGAGGTCGAACCACTTCTTCACCTCCGACATGGTTTGGCACTCAGAGCTTACAGTATTGACAGCTGCAACTACATGTTGCCACTAAAAAATTTTCCTCGTTTGTAATGCCAGGGCTTTTATTATTTTAATATTATTTCTGCAGAGACATACATAGAGATTCTCATGGGCATTTATGTACGTATCAGTATCAATTAAGGGGTTTCTTTTAACCATTTATGGATAATTGTGGTAGTGGTAGCGGTAGGTGATGTGTTGGGCTCAAGCTGGTACAGGCAATTTCAAGTTGATTTGGGATTTATAAAAGGAAATAGCACATTGGCAGACGTTTGCAAGATTTTATAAATCATAATTTTCCCTCCCTGATTTGGATGCTAGCAAACATTTACTGTGGATTCTCTGCAGAGTTTTATAAATGAGGCCCTAGGCCTTTAAATAATGTTTAAGCGGATCTTTAGCACATGTCATGACACCGCACCAGGGCCAACATTACCTGCAGTTCATGGTCGCCAGCTGACGCATGGAAGAGAGCAGCCTGCCAAGAGTTGCTGATGCCCCACGCACATGAAGTGGCTGAATTCTAATGTGAGGAAAGTGTCCGGGGAGCTGCTGTGAAACCCCTGTGTGTCAGGTTCCAGATACACTTTGGGAGGTGACACTTTCAGTCGAGGTTCCATGGTGCATCTACTTGAGCATCTAATGTTTCAGTTGCTGGTTTAATATTGTGTAGCCTATATTGATTAGAAATTTGAAAATGTTTACACATAAACCATTTCTATCAGTGCATGTCTCTTTCTACTCAACACACATACACACTGCTCCATATGGATACCTTCAACTAACCTTATATCATGGAGAGAAATAACCTTCTTTTTTGGTGTGCTGCTGCATTGACCACTCTCCCAGGAATGTGCTTAATGACCCCTGAATTTGTTTGTGTGTCAGACCTGCTGGGGGCCACAAATGCCCTCAGAAAAGACATTAATTGGTCATTTTGAAACTGGACAAATTGGACAAAAAAAGTCCAGTGTGCAGCTCTGACTTCCAGAAAACTGGAAGAAACAAAGTGACCAAAAGGGACAAATGATCAAACTCCAGTAGAAATGAAGCCGGTCCTCAGCCCTGTTTGACCTCTGACTGTTATACCTTTAATGGTGCATGTGAATACCTGGGACACTGTACATTATGCATCATCATCACCATCAAGATGGGACAGGACACTGACAGCAGAGGGTGACCTCAGGCCCCTTAATCAGCACAGTTGACAAAGCAATTTTGCCAGACTGCACCTCTCAGTATGAAAGAGTTAGAAAACACCGGCGTCCCTGACATTCAGCAAAGAGCAGCTATGTGTGTTTGGGGTTATATTACATGTGGTTGGAAATAATTTGAACCACATCTGTTGTGAATCAGAGCAACTAGGGCAGGTAGATGTTGCATGTCCAAAACAGATCTGGGCAAGTGAAGCACCACAGAATGCCTGTCCACCAGACACATAGAGGTTGTGTAGGTGAGTCGATAACCTCGCACTAATGCTACTGTATTGACATGGCACACATGGTCCTTCTGCAAGACTACAACACATATGACACGAAAGGTCCAGTGTCAGCTTACATTTAATTTCCCATAACTGAACCTCTATTGTAATAATAGGGAATATTAGCAGTGGTGTATGTGGCTCAGATGTGCTCGTTTTGGGACGGCTGCCTGTAAAAGGATATCTGCACGAAAGGGTGGGTGGTGGGGGGGACAGAAAGAGCAAGAGAGGGAGAAAAGGAGAGAGAGATTTCACATTACAGTCTCCCTTCATGTACTGTGCTGTATAATTCTAGAGGTGAGAGGAGGAGGGGTTGACAGGAGGGAGTGGTGCAGGAGGAGAAGAATGCACTTTTTAACTTAATTTGCTATTTGCAAGGGCGTTACAGATGTCCACGGTCCAGTCTTTGTGTCCCTGGGCGTTATAAATAGTAAAGATTAATTAGTTAGCTGAGAACTTGGATCAGGGGCGGGCAGATAGAATTTGATCCATGGACAGGTAACTCAAGCAATCCCTATTGTCACTGCAACCAGACCTATATAAATCCGCCTTGACAGACAGCATTCACCACATAGCCTTACCTCTGCTGGATCACCGACCGGGCAAGAACCCCCCATCACACGGTAAGTTGTTGTGTGGATTCAAGGAGGTTGCTTTTGGTGTGAAGTGGCTGCTTTTTATTTGTTTTAAATGCTTTTGCAGAGACAGATTCTCTGGCTTCTGCAGGATATATTTTACATTTTGACTTTCATAGAAACCTATTAAGATTTAAGGATTATATGCCTCTTGTTCTCTCCTGGTGAGTTACTGCACTTCTCAGTGTCATCATTGTCACCTGGACACCTTCTGCTCTTTGTCAGTGTCAAGTTAGAAGATTTGCTACTGTACCTGGCTAAATGCGTTAATAATTCACTACGGTCGTTCCTCCTACAGGAATAAAATGTCACTCTCATCCATCCTTTCCGCTGATGCCATCGACAGTGCTATCAAGGACTGCCAAGGTATCGTCTTCCACTAATATCATTATTGCTCCCTTCACTGCTTTTGTTTTTTATTCTTTACACTACTGGACCATATGCACTCACCAGACAATAGGGTTGTCTCCATGTTAGCCTGCTGGAAGACTGCAAAAAGTTGAAATGAAAGGATACATAAATGCACACGGGGCAAAGTAAAGTACAGTATGACTTTTTAAAGTTATTTTATGAGCATCAGCTGTGCACAAGCCATAAGCCAAAGAGAGTCCAGATTTGATCGTGTTTGTATTATCACTGGAGGTAAAAATAAAATTTGCCATTCAAACCTCTAAAATATAAAAAATTGCATATTCAAGATCAATTTTTTTCTCCATGCTCTGTGCCTCTGGGTAAGAACGTAACTTACATTACACTTAATAATACCTTGTTAATCACGTGTCATCTTGTCTCCATAATTTAAACTGACCTTACAGCGACTTTGTCCTGATTCTAGTTTAGAGAAAAAAATAGACTGATACAAAATATGGAAATTTATGTCATGCTTTCACTGACTCTGCTCTCTGTTCCCATCCAGCGCCGGACTCTTTCTGCCCCAAGAAGTTTTTCCAGATTTGTGGCCTCACCAAGAAGAGCCCCCAGGATGTGAAGAAGGTTTTTGGGATCCTGGATAATGATGCCAGTGGTTTTATTGAGGAAGAAGAGCTCAAGTGAGTGAGCAGCCAGTTCAATAACTACAGAATTTTTTGGGGGGCCTTGAGGATCTTATGAGTCAGTGGCTGCATTTGCTGGTCCCTCAAACAGGAGAATTCATAATGTTGTTGTTAATAATTGATAAAATAATAATAAAATTGTTATTGTTGATGAAGATGATATCCAACCATGATTTATTAGTTTATCCACCTATTCAGGGCTGACATGAAATTTACAACACAAACTCACATTGTTTTCCACACTGTACCTCAAACGTATCGAAGCAATAGCAGCGCAGTCATCATCCACCTTTATATTTACAACCCTCAGAACATAGCAGATGCAAAAAGACTGTCCACTGTCCATAGCTGTACAAAGACTGTCCATAAGATGTGTTTTATGGCTGTACAGTAATACAGATGGTGGCACCAAAATCTGATTGTAGGAAATTACAAGAGACTCAATAGACCTACAGTTGAGTTGTCTTCTCATTTATTTCCCGTGTGCATTTTGAGATTTGCATTAGGATAGATTGCTATCTATCCAGTTGTTACTCTAACTTTTGCCTGTGGCTCTATGCATACCAGGTTTTTCCTCCAGAGGTTTAATCCTGGGGCTCGTGTTCTGACCGAAAAGGAGACCAAGAACTTCCTGTGTGCTGCTGATGACGATGGCGATGGCCAGATTGGAGCAGAGGGTGAGAGGAGCTGTACCTGCTGTATTTGATATACCCATTATGCGGCGACCTGCGTGTGTGTATGTGTGACTGGAAAACCACGATGTTTAGGGAACAATTTCCCACATTTTCAATTAGAATGCAGACTGACTAAATTAGTGGTATTCCTAGAGTAGTCTGATTGTTCAGGAGGCAATTGAAACTGCACAATGTTTTATTTAGACCATTTGTGATTTTAGTTTAATCGATTAGACAAACATTAATGACAAGCCATTAACTTGAGAGCAGTGGCACTGAAATTTAGCTTCACAATGCTGTCTCTCTCTCTTTCTTTCCATTGATTTCATATCTTCATTGGTTCTATATATCAAATAAAAATATTTTTACGTTGAGGCAGGTGAGGCAGGTGTCAGACAGATGAGGTAAATAACCATCTGACTTATGCTGTTTTTTTTCTCCACAGAGTTCCAGGCCATGGTCTTGTCCTAAACAACTGGACTCCATGTCAACTTAATCTGACTCCCCGAACCCACCCCTATTCCACTGCTTCAAAGGCTCTCGCATAGTCATTTTCCATCTAGTTAGATGAAACCTTTACTATATTTTTTTATTTTGCAAGACTCTCTCTGGTCCATGGACATACATCATCATGTTTTTCTTCTCTTTCTTTTTCATATGTTTTAGACAGATTGTAAAGCTGTATTTCCCAATTAAATGCACAATTTACCAAATTACTGAGAAAATAAAATAATAAAATCCAAGTCCTGTGGCTCTTTTCATTATTTCTATTCAAGTGGACATTTTTGTATACTGTATGGTAGCCAAGGCAGCATCGAAATGTATCGTATGCACAAGATGGTCTAATTAACCCTTAGGAAGTGGGAATCCATTTATGCACAACATACTGGTCCAGGTGCGCCATATGCATATAACAAAAACTAACTCAGTGGTATATGAGGCAAGGTCACGTATATGAGAAGTGAGACATGTCCTGAAAACACAGAGTTTCTCATTGAGGTGTACAACATATGCAGTATAGGTGTGTGTGTGTGTGTGTGTGTGTGTGTGTGTGTGTGTGTGTGTGTGTGTGTGTGTGTGTGTGTGAGAGTGTGAGTTTATACAGTCATAGAGCTAGCGCTGGGAAAAAGCAGAGGTTGTGACCTTGATGACCACCTGAGTGTCACTGCGGCTGCATCGAGTGACACCTGACCTCAGCTTTGTAAATAAACCCAGCTGAACCTTAGTGCTGCTCATGATAGGGCAACAAACACACACACACACACACACACACACACACACACAAATCTAATCAGACACAGACGGCCATCCACGCAAACACACATAAATCTCAAGTATGCATATTGTAGGAGATGCAAACTCTGCAGAATGCTATAGCTGTAAATGCTAGCCTTACACGTATTACTTTGCCAGGTCTCCTTGACAGCTCAGGATGGCTTGCTTGGACGATATCAAGGAAGAATGATTTTATTACGCTCAGGCACAGAAAGAAGATTGACCGTCTCTTTCACTGCACTTAAGGGATTCATGGGATTAAAATTAACAACTACCTCACGATTCACCCTCTCACTAGAGGCACCAAAATACAGAGTGCCACACGTTCTTCCAGTTACTCTCATTTCAATTACCTGTATTTTACATGGAGAACCTGACCATTACAGCAGACACCTGCTACTCAGAACTATGGGGCATACCCTGTTATTAGCATGAGGTCGTGGTCAAGTGTAGGATGAGCCGTCATACCTATTGCTGTTTGATTCGGACCGTGTGCTGTAATAATGATAGAGGTTTTAAGAGTGTTCTTACTGTCTGTTAGAAGCCTGTGTTCCTCTTAAATTTCACTGTCAATATAAAGTGACATAAATATGATGAAGCCACTATGGTACCATTTCAGAGAATATCAGTCAAGGGCATTTCTGTACCTAAATGACAGACAAAAACGTAAATCATTTCTAAGTGCCGAAACGTGACTAAAGCCAGAGACATTCACAATGTTTCATAAGAAATTCACAAAAAAAATGTTTTGTTCAAAAAGGTTTTTTTAACCCCAATGAACCACTACATAGTTTGAATGAACTTGGTTGTTTTACTTCAAGTTTGCCCCATTATGAGCTAAACCAAAAACTGCCTTTTATTATAAACACAACCTTCCTCTTGCCTGAACTTTGCTTTTTCACTTATGTGACTATTACAGTGTATTAATCAAATACATTAACAGACAATAAAATGTTGTCTATCAAAACATTGGGCATGCACAGAAATATACACCAGTAATTAAATCATCTGTTTCTGAGCCTCACCTCTGCAGTGGAGGAGTGAAAATGGGAGCGAGGGGGCGCGGTGCTGAAAGTGGGACAAGGTTGGGGAAGCCAGTAGGTAACACAAGCCAGGGGACACACAATGGAGGCGTGAACCCTGTGGGTCAGGAGACGCGAGTGGCAAACAGGAAGGAAATGTGAGCCAACAGGTTGACACTGACTGCTGGATGTGTAGCTGTGGGACAGCAGTACAAGATAATGTGACAAGCAGATTACCCGGAGTCAAGGGCAGAGGGAGGGAAAGAGGGAGAGAAAGACCGTAGTTCTGCTTCTCACTGGGAGACCGCAGCTCTGACAGGCCAATAATGTCCGACAGTCCTGTTGGGCTGAGAATGTGAGAGTAATGACAAACATCAGTTGTTGCACTGCAAGGTGAACATGGAGGAGGTCTTAATATGGTGTCACAAAACTGCCTTAAAAAGATGTCTCTATTGTCTGTTATGGGCTAAAATAGCAATTCAAAGCATTATTTCGTACTTTTTATTCTGTTGATGGAAAAATTGTGTCATTTCGAGCAGGGTAAATTTATATAATGTAGTAAATCATGCACTTTAATAATGCAATTTCTGAGATAATTAAAAGGGGTCATGAGAAATAAATACATATTGGGGATGAGGAATATTCCTTAACCTGTTATCTATTAGAGGAACTGTACTCAGAAAAATAATGGTTCTTAAATGGTTCTTCAAAAAGCTTTCTGGTTCTACAAAGAGCCATCACCATTTGAAAACCCTCTTTATTTAGGGGATGGTTCTTCATATACTATATGTGGTTCTAAAGGTACTAAAGTACTAAAGGTTTTTATAGTCAATAGAATGAAATTAGGGCTGCAACCAACAATTCTTTTCATTATGGATTTGCAGATCTTCAGATTATTTTCTTAATTAATTGTTTAGTCTATGAAACATCAGAAAACAGTGAAAAATCACAATTTCCAAATTCCCAATTGACATCTTGACATATATTGTTCTGCCTGATCAACAGTCCAGAACCTTAAATATTAAATGTATTTAATAGGCTACCTGAAATGCAAGAAATTCTTACATTTGACAGTTTTGCTTAAAAATGACTTAAACAATTATCAAAATAGTTGTTGATTAATTTTCAGTTGTTGGAGCTCTACTGTATGTGAAATGTAAAACTGTACCTCTGAATTGTTTGGGGTGGTTGTTTGATAGTGGAAAGAAACACACACAATAAAATAAATACAATAAATATCAAGCATGAGTGTATGACTAGCTAATGTGTTCTATGAGGTCCACTTGTTATATTTTTCAGTTACACTGATTATAATTTCAAAAATGTTCTTTTTCTCCCTCACAAATTCATACACACGCACACGTGCAGATAGACACACCTTCTAGTCTGAGATACGTTGCAGAAGAACTAGCTTACACTATGCCAGTCCTCGTAACTGAGGCCAGCACATACACTGAAAGTGACAGACTACTTCCTCAACCCACAACCTCTTGGCAACAGCGAGTTGCAGTCATCATACCTTGGCTCGGACCAGCATTTCCTTCCTGCTTCTGAAGTTGTATGAACTAACACCTTGGTTCCTGGGGCAGGGAGGTGCACACCTACCAAACCGTTTTTTCCTGGGATTTTCCCGTACTTCAAGGCCATCTCCCAGCACCCTCCTGTTTGTTGTTTCTTACGGGAAAAACCCATAATTTGCATGGCCCTCAAACTTTATCATGAATCACTGTCATACACAGATTCACGTTTTGGATGTGAGTCTGACACAAGTTGCCAGATTGTCTTTGAAACACAATCTATCCACCTCATCCACCTGGCAACTGGCACCATGACCCTCTCTGTGCACACACTTCTCAGATTCGACGGGACAGTGTTCCACCTGAAAAAATCTAAATACAGCTGCAAATTTAAGCATAGTTGGACTGGACAGTTCAAACTAAACTTTGATCACACTTAAAATAAAATTGTAATATAGTATTTTAATAAATACATTGCTGTGAAATACACTTTCAGTTGAAATTGAGTGTAATTGCAAAAGTCCACTTTTTGATTCTTGTTTACAAATGTATTTATTGTATAGTATTATATGCATATTTAGTGTGTAAAACTCAAAAAGCATAATAATGTACCACAGCACACTTAAAACAAAATTTAAATGTTTTATTATTGCATTGTTAAAAACATACTTTGAAAATGCTTCAAAGTTACACATAATTTAAATATAGATGTTGTGGAGAAAATAAACTAATATATTGAAAGAGCTTTAAAAGTACTACGAACTACTTTTTATTACTATAAGTAGATTTTATTTGAGTAAGTTACAACATTCTGTAATTATACTTGAAGAACATGTTCTGATATTTTACAATACCAATATCTTATTAAAAAAAGTACTATTTTAGTCTACAACAAGTACAAGTACGCTTCAAAGATGTTTTTAATTGTGCAAATCAACTCATTCTACTGATAAACGTTACCAGATAAATAATTCGGAGAACTAAACAACAAACAAAAAGAACATTTTGTCTTTAAAACTTTATGCACATTTATTGAGAAGAAATTTACTTCAGCATTATGGAAGATTTGAGGTCATGGTTTAGTTTATTAGATCACTTGTTTATTTTTTTTTTATTAATTCTGCCATTATTCCTTAAAATCTCCAAATCAGAAGACACATTTTCTACTGAATGACTGATGTGTGTGATGTTTACAAGATGAAACTTGGAATGACATCTCATTCAAATTAGTAATCAAGAGAAAATGGCTGCTTTAAATGAGGGTTAAATGTACTTCACAACAGATTCTTGCCACTGTTGATAAAAATGTTACCATACAGTAAAGACTCGAATATCACCCCATATAGCATGTAATAGGGCTGAACGATTAAACAAAATCTCTTTTAAATCGCAATATGGCCTATTGCAATCGATCAAATCGCAGGAGGTGCAATATTTGTTGAAGGTCAAATTTGTGTCAAAATACCATTTTAAATTAAATATTGTCGTGCTGCAGAGATATCCTGGCCTCCACATGATAATCTAGGGACTTAAGAAAACATCAACAAAACACACCATAATTCATTTCAAAATGTGTTTCAATGAAAATGAGAATAATTATGTATAAATGATAATTCCCCAAATCACATTGCTATTGCAAAATCAGTCAGAATAATCGCAATTAGATATTGTTTCAAAATTGTTCAGCACTAGCATGCAATAATCATTAGTCCATTTCAACATTGTTTGGCAGTGGAATAACATAGATTCAGGCTCCTAAGAAAGTGCGCATGCACCGCAAATACATTGTTGGTGTCAGAGACTTCAATCACAAATGTAGAGGAAATATTCAAGATAATATTTCCACAAAGCTTTCCTTCAAAAACAAAAAGAGATGTTTCCCGTACTTCTTCTTCAGAGAGCCATTTGAGACAGGCAGTGCAT